ATAGTCACTTACCATAACGAGCATTCAACAGTTAACGGAATGGTGCTCCGATTTTACTCCCTTTTAAAGACAAAATTTCCAAGAGCAATGAGTCAGAAAAAAAAGCTGAGGTGTATTTCATTCAAAAGAAAGTCCACATTTTGAGGAGGAAAAAAAATGGAAATTAGGTTGAAAGAATTTGAACCGACGGCGTCAATAATCTAGACAAATTAACATCAACCACACGACCACAGTGTCGCATCGATCTTCGTAAAATGTGAAATGTTTCAATGCATGCGTAATGTTTTTAGTGACTATACCTAGTTGCAGAAAAACAAGCTCGATCGGATCTCGGAAGCTGCGGGCCAACGAATTCGTGTTCACCTTATTTTGACCTTTGACCCCATATAGCTGTAGGTCAGACGAAGTGGTCACCATGGACATTTTTAATGTTTGATCAAGGCTAACATGTTGACAGCTCTTTTGTCATTTGAGCTTCTTTGAAATTTGATATTATTTGACCTTGACCTCGTGATGATCTTTGACCCTAGATTGGTCATGTGACATGTTGGGGCAGGGCTACTTATACTTTTGGTTGAAATCGGTCAAAATTACGTAGGAGCAATAAACAATGTCAACGTTTGTTACTAACTAACTAACAAACGAACTAACGGAGGGACATGATGATTTGTTGAGCTGCTATACCCGCAGCTATGTTATCTTCCTGGTCCCTTTACCAGATATTAATTAGATATTACTCGGAGTTCAGTTCGACGCTGGCGTCGGTAGCTCGGGCTGGAGGAGACGAGGGGAACCCCTTGGGGATCGACGCGGCAGGGCTTTACAGGGATCCAGTCACTGCTGACCCAGATTCCAAGCCAGTCTTACATCCAGTTCGTGGTGACATCAGTCATCGGCCTGCTTAACTCTAGGCGATCGGGGAGACAGGAATATTGCCGTGCCATACGGAGGATGCCTGAGATGTCAAGCAGTTAAGGCGTGGAGGATGCTACAAACATTGTTTGCCGTCTGGTTACTAGTACTGTTGAAACGAACGCTGTGATATACCATATTGTTTTCGAATTCATGCATGGTGAAAATTGGCAATTCAGCCAGACACCACTATACAAGATATAACGCGTTGCGTGGGCTTGTACATGGATAATGCATGTCTTACATTCAAACATATAGATAAGGATTGATGGACGGAACGAAAAACATGACAAAATTAAAGCAGTACACAGTCATGCAGTCAACCCAACCCAACTCAAATCAACCAGAACACACCCGAACAAAACCCAACCCAAAACATGCATGTTTGCCTCACATACCTACTGTAGACATTCCTTTGTATTCGTGAAGTTAAGAAAAACCGGAGGAAAAAAATCATTTTACTCGCACTTTGAACACTCTTTCAACCCAAATGTTTCATCATGTCTTCCTTGAGTGTTCCTCTTCATTATGCGACGGATAACCCTATACTTAAAAATGCCTCTAAACCTTTTTTTTTCTAGAGAGGGGGAAACCTTTTGAGGACGTGGGCAAGTCCACACAACGTTCACACTTACTGCACCCTGTGGACCTCTTTTGTTCACAGGGTCCACAAAGAGTATACCAGGTTAGAGCAATCCTACACACCCAACACAGCCAACCCTAGCACGTTTGTTAATGACGTAAATCGAGGATTTCATATTGTTCCTCATCATCGATTTTTTGTTCATACTTGGTTTTTTTCCAACAGCTCCCTTTGGTTTTGTACACGTGTTCTAACCGAGGACGTCCTCAATTTGATTTCCTGTCCTCAATCACACAATGACGTTTCACTTGTGTGTCCTCGATTCACACTATAAACAAATCCAACCCGACACAACCCAATTGCCCCCCCCCCAAAAAAAAAATAAACACACTTGACCAAACCAGACGTAACACAACCCAACACTCCCAATTAAACCCAATCCAACAAAACCCAATCCAATCCAACCAAACCCAATTAACACAATCCAACTCAAGCCAACCTAACAAAACCCACCCCAACACAACCCAACACAACCCATCCATCCCATCTCAACTGAACTCAACCCAAACCAACTCAACCCAACCATATGCCAAACTAAACTCACCTAAACACAACAGAGGCCAACTTAACCGAACCCAATTTAACCGTCCCAACCAAACCGAACCCAACCAAACCATTCCTAATCCAACCAAACCGAACAAAACGACATATTCCAACAATTAAAGACATGGTATTCAAGATGAAAATATAATGTATATCGATATGCATGTAAGATGAGAATAACAATGTTGCACACGGCCGCTCTGAAGAAAAATGACAAATTTCATTTCAACGCGATGATTTGTCGTACATGACATTTTACCACCTCCGGCGTGAAGATATTCGTGACTGGAGTCTTTAGAACGAATCGCCATTATCCATCATTGCTTATTCCAACAGCCTAATGCGAATGAGATTGTATTCTAAATAGGAGCCTAGAGGCTTGAACTGTGGACACACGAAGTATTGTAACTGTGCGACGATAGCCCAGTCCTTGCAAAGGACAGTCAACCTTTGCAACAGCGTGGGCTTGGGTTTTTTTGTGGGGGAGGGGGTTGATTAACAAAATTTTACTTAACAACGAAAATTGATATGCCAGTGAAATTAACTTCACGTTTTATTTCAAGATGTCGTCGATTTCATGGAACACCATTTTACATGGGCAGCCATATTTCAAGAAAATGTTGGCAAACAAAAAAAATGTTCACCTTGTTGTGATTATTGTCTATGGATTGTACATTCTTCAGTGCATACAGTCGTTACGTAGCAAAGGAAATGTCAATAAAGCAGGTAGGCTCCAGCAACTGATGCTGGATACGTTATTAATGACGAAGATGGGGACTGTACCCTAATGGTAACTGAATAAGGCCGTGTCCGAAACGGGCTTCCAGAGCTAAGGCTACGTCTATTGTCAGCGTGTCCCCGCGTATTTTCAATGGGCGTGGACCTAGACCTAGCTCTAGACAGTTGATTCGGATGTAGCCTCAGTACAAGTTATGCATTTAGGCTAGTACCCATGATGTCATGACCACGAAAGTAATGGTCTCGCCGTGCATGTCAGGATATATGACAAGATGGCGGCATTCACCTCATCTCATCAATCATGTCAATGACTTTTACTGTTTTACTGGTGGTTGTCCTTTGCTTTCTGTTCTTTTGTTCTTCAGCTTCCTACGCGTCAAGTTGCTTCATTAAAAGCCACATTCTGTTCGTTTTGATATCAATTAGCGTGGTACCAGCAACTACACCGAATCTACGAATCCGGGGCATTGCCATTGCTGCAAATTAACTCTTTTTTTTATCGGTTCCGCATTTAGTCTTATCTCATCAACAGAATTAGATACACTTGTGTGGGAGCCAATTATTAAAATTGTTATCAAAGGGAAATTCGCATAAATTAGACTCTTAACCTGATTAAAAAAAAAACCATTTGTATCTTTCTAAAGCGATAACAACGGATAGATGTTACCAATTTCGTTTCGTGTGCTGATCATTAAGTTAATTGAATTTCACAGTTTACCGTCCCGCTGCGACACAAACTGCAGTGTCAAAATGGACACCATTAGGCCTATACGAATCCGTCTCTTTCAAGACTTTGGTTCAATGTATAGATGCCGAATTGTATTTGTTTCACATTTTTGATCTTTTTGTTTGGACTTTAAAATAAAGGTTTTAGTAAATAAAAATATATTTTCAAATATTTCAAAACAAGTCGCATGCACAGTCGAGCGTTTGTATTGGACAAGAAAGAACTCGATATATTTGCATGCATCAATGATAATCATCATTGGCTACAACTTTCATTCATAAACAATTATTTAAACACAATTACATTCCAAGCGTAGGCCTATATATTTCTGATAACACAAATATATACTTCGTTGTCGAAGTCATACGATCGAGCATTTTTGAAGGTGGAAAAAATACAAAACATGTAACACGAAAAGGCGGAAAAAATTGTCTGTTCTCATCACCATATTTATTCTCGATTGCACTATTCTCTTTATGTGAAATTTAGCGGAATAATGTTTGATCAATAGTTTCCCGCTGTGTATTCCAGGATTTTGGCTCATACTCGACAACGACCAGTGAATCAAATTAGTCGTGTTATTTACGATGAGCGTGAAATGTAGTATTGGATCTCTTTTTTGGTATGACACCGTATTTCCCTTCCACACTTTCCCCCAAATAAACAATTTATTGAAACAAGAGACACACCCGCCGAGTCATACTGGAAAAATATAACACCTTTTTGACATCTGTGGAATTGTTTATGTTCAATTAGGCCTGTTTGTACTCCCCATTAAAAAAAAAACCGCACCCGACAAAATAATCTAAAAATACGACGCCTCCTGATTAAGTTGACAACAAAATCACCATATTTAGCCCTAGTTCTTTCCGCGCCGTTAACTCGCGAAATAGGCCAATCTATTTCACGGATGACTCGATAATACCGTCAACTGGTTTTTTTTATCGAGATGATGACATCATGTGATGTAAATAGCTACCGCGATGTATCATATCCCATCGGGGTGGCCTATGAAATCGAATAACGGGCGCAGGGTGTCATTTTTTCCCGCCAACACATTCCCGAATAGCTTGTCATGCGACCGGAGACTCGCGCTGTAACAACATTATGATTCACACGCGTGTCGCAGCAACGGGATCCCACGTGCGCACAACAAAACAGATAGGTCCCCCACCGAGGGGAACGATTTGTACACGGCGCTCATAATGTAACGAGAGGCCAGCACAGCACGACTACATCATGTACATCACCACACTTACCAAGGCTGTGCACGCGTGTATAATGCGAGTGCCCGCACACTGATGATTACACACTCATCATCTGAATGACATCATCCGTTACCGTGGCAACGGGAGACGGCATAAAAAAGTGAGGCTGGTTCCCATTGTCGTTGTAATAGTTCTATGAATAAATTATTATCAATGAGTGGATGGAACGACCGCCTAATAGCGCCGGGGAGGCAATAAGTGAGAGCGCGGTGCGTCGCGCGTTGGATCCGATTGATGAGCAAAAAGCAGGCGATACTGGAGCGATCGAAATCTCCCCAGGTGGATGGATTCTACAGGAGCATGCGCACTCGGTGGCGGTGACGTGTGTGTGATATTGGCTGAGAAATATTAGATAGTGAGTGGGCAACTGGGCTCAGGTCGATTCAATCCTGTATGCAGCTCGATCGAAAGAGGCGACATCGTCATCATTGTGTGACAGCCTGCAACTAGTACATGCATTGAAATATTGCGTTAGAGCCTTGGGCTAGTAGTAGTAGCTGCGCCGTCAAATACATAAAACAAACTCGCTCCATTGTGACCAAGCACTCAAACCAGTCATGCTTCTGTGCAAAAATGCGAGCGACTGAGCTTTGTATTCATTTTATTATTTTGCAGATGGGAACTCGTCAGAAAGATGAGCTCACTCCAACACCAACAGGTTGGACTGACCGGGCTCCAGGCTCTCTGAAGCCCTGCCGTACAGTTAACTACGTCAAGGCCTGACCGAATTGCCAGGCTGTACACGGTGAACTTTTGACGCGTCTTCCTTGACAACTCATCGCATGCTAGCTGAGACATTATAACGCAACAACCTATGAATCATCGATGTTATAAATATACAGTGGACTAATATAGAAACATTTAGAAAGCCACGGACGTACAGGAGAGGAGAGAAAACTTTTCAACCATTACTGTGTAATTATTAGAAATAGTTCCCGCTCTCCGGGGCCGGGATCCCAAGGGTACCACAACGGCCGCCCGACTCCTAGACAAGCAGGCCCGACGCGCCTCCGCCGCCTCAGACCCTGCACTCGCCAGCCACATGATCGAGAAGAACCTTAAGAGGGGTGGGGATCGGGAAAACGGCCCGCATCACCCACACCACCACCACCAGCACCAGCGGGCCAACACCCCAGACCCCCACGTATCTTGCAAGGACCCTCCGGCTTCTCCACTAGCCAAGTCGCTACACTGGAGCATCGCTGATATGACCATCAAACAACAACAGGAGCACTCATACCGGGGCAGGAGCTCCAGCCTTCCTTTCTTAACTCTCAAGGATTTGCCCAAACTCCAGCAGCCACCCGTTCTCAGGGTGGTCTTACTGGGAACTGCCGGGGTAGGGAAGTCTTCCCTCCTCATGCAATTTGCTTCCTCTTTCTACACCGACGTCAGCGACTATGAATCGATGCTGTCAGGTAAGAACATTCTGATTTAAAGAGCTTCGATCCCTTATCATACCAAATTCACATAATGGTCACGCGTTGCAAGAGCCACTTTTGTATGAGGCCTTTTTCGAAACAAATCTTACAAACGGAAATTAGGTAGAGACTGAATATTTTCCCCTGCATTATACTACATGAGACAAATAAGTTCGCGATGTATGAGAAAAGGAAATGAAGTGTGCTCCTTCTATTGCTAAAAATGTTCCCAAGACTTTTTTGTCTCATTTTAACACTTTGTAAACAAATAAAAAGTGGGCTCTACATCACTACCACGAAAGAGTTTCCGGACACCTACTTTGGGAGTGTTTCGGAGGTTCAAGTTCAACGGTGTGTTTTTCACTCAAGGCGCTACTTCCATTAGGACAGACCCGCTCACAGTAAAATCACAACATGGTCGAAGGGTTAAGTGTCAAGTGTAAAGGGCCTTGCTGTTATGCAAACACTCATTTCACCATTCACTCGTGTTTCACCAATCGCAAACATTTCTCCAAAATATCAAAATACTCTATAGACGAATCCAGGCGCGTGATCACGAAACGTACACCTTGCCCCTTTCAATGGCGAACTCAACATGGTGCGAAGCTACTGCCCCATGACAGATCACCATTGAAGGGGGCATTGTACAAGTGACAGCTTGCCCTGATTGGTCTGTTTTGAATTGTTACCCCTTTGAACAAATAAGTCAAACAATAAGTCAGCACTCTTCTAAAGACTGTATAGTCAGACTTGACTTGAAAGCAGTCTTACTTGCACAGGCACTCTCTAAATGTATAGACCGACCCATTTCTGTTTACCCTTATTTGTTATTGTTTGTTGGAATTGGAAATACATGTTGATGAAACTGAAACCCAGCTTACTACATCTTTTGGATGTAAATAGGACTGATTGCTAGTCAAATCCTTTGTAATTCCAATTCGATCCTATAAGTACAGATGTTTTTTTCCCTTTCATTGACATTTCAATTTGGTTTAGTTCTGAATACTCAATTCTGTGGCCTGCTTTACATACACAGCACGTGTAGTTGTTATCGGGCAACGGGACTAATTATACGCGACCACGACGCAGCTCCCCGATCGTACTGGAGATTTATCGTTTAGTGAAATTATAGGCAGAATGAAAGCGGTATAAACTCTTCAAAATGAAATTGGATATTCGATGATGCAGCAGGATCTAGGTCAATTTGGGCGCTGGTGGAGCAGGATGCGGGTTAAATGCGATTCTTGGAGAGAAAAAACTCTGTAATCAATTTAAAATATTTGCTCGTCAGATGACTGTCCTTTTTTGTAATTCCCAAACGGCAAGTTTACTCCTTTCGCACTACTTACAAAAAGTCACTACTCGCTAGTGTCAGCCTCTTCTCGCGCCAATGACGAATAGTCTATTATACGTCGTGGGAAATAATGGTATAGAACTACGAATAGCTGAAACTACTCATGAGTATTCGATGAATCGCAATACCCGAGCACCTGAAATATGAATATATTGAAAAAATATACATTGATATTTCAGCTTAATAGCACGGACGCATATGGAAGCAATTACTAACCTTGTGTGTAATGGTGGTATAATGCATGCACCGGCATGTTCCTATCGGGTCGTCTTTCACTCTGTAATTATCATCGAAATGTATTTCCTGACTCCGTCTGAAATGTGAAGGTTGCTGGCATACTGTACCGCCTTGCTTGTAAGAGTAGTCTAGCTTTCATGCCATGGGAGCTAATCCATAGGCTGGTGATTGCTTTGCCGGTGCCTGCCTTGCATCACAAAATAAATGTATTCTGCACACAGCATGTTACTGTTTCAATTGTAATTGTCTGGATGCATAATCCCTCGTTGATGGGTCGCAACATGTTCTCTGTCGTATCCAGTTTCCTCATTCTATAGACTCTCACAGGTTGAGTCTGGATTTCAATCAGTTTCTTTTTATTATATGCCACTTACCGTAACAATACAATGCAAAACATTGGCGTAGAATTATTAATATATGGGGTTTTTTTTTGGGGGGGGGGGGTTTACAGGTTCAAGCCCGACCACCACAGAATTAAAGGGAAAATACAACATTTGCAAACATCAAAAAATAAAACTACCAAATCATTTTGAAATACCTTGCTGGACTGTTAGTGAATGACAGTGTAAAGCATCCTGTAAAATCATGGCACCTGGTATACTGTCATTTTCAAGAAAAGTGGTATTTTTGTATCAATTTCCAACGCTGATCGGCCGATCAGCGTTGGAAACAACTGGCTTTTTTCAAATACTGGCCCCAATTGACCATCGCACTTGTTTGCAATCGATTACAAACCTATGAACGGGTACGAACCAGCTAGACTGGTTCCCTGAACTTACAATTCCCCAATGTATGTAAACTGCTCTGTTTCTTCTTATATGGAGTCAGGGAACCAGACTACAGGAAAATGATCGTTTTTCTTGGTTTTTATAGCATTTTCGAACCCAAAACCTCAAAAAAGTCAGTGTAACTATATTTGCTATATATTTCCAACCCCCCAATTCCATCCATTTCTGAAAATTACAGCAAAAGCAAATGATGTATATTCCCTTTAAGTAAATTGTTACTAAAGAAAGGGAAAATGGGGAGAAAAAGCTCGCTAATAATGCTAATATTTAATTTGAATTGTACGTATAATAACTGTTGTACTAGTACATAATGCTCAGAAATGTCACATGATGTCCCCCCTCCCATCACGCGGTTTTCGACTTTTACATGGTTGTAAAAGGGTTGTTTTTTTAACACTGTGCCAAACAATTCCTTGTAAATAAGAACGGGATCAATATAATGTTTTTTTTTGTTTAATGAAATATTTATTTTTATTCGGATGAAATCAAAAAAAGGTACTGACTACATAACGTCCTAACACCTTTTTGCCCGTATCGCACCCAAATTTAAACGCGGGTAGATGTGTCTGTTGCCATAATTAGCTTATTTGCAATTGACGTCTCAACAACATGACTGGCCATTTTCACGCTCCCGACCTACGTATTGACAGCACACCATGAACTGAAACATCACGATGAACAAACATGAGAGACATTAGTTTTGCCACCACAGCACCTGAGACTCTCATTAGCGTCAACGGCTCAATTTCCACAGCTGGTACATCATCATCATCATTATCATCATCAACGAAATGGTGTTGATTGTTGCACTTGAGAGTGTGATTAATACATGAAAGGTATTTTCGCCTTCAATGACTTAATTTGTTCGAGTTGTATAGTCGAGTCCCATAACACATCCATCACAAGTCTTGTCACAAGTAACTGCAGGGGATTAACAACGACACATGAATGCTTTAATCACAGTTCACTGGAAATGCTTCTGGCTTGACTTCAGACTTGATGACCTGTGAAAGTCTTGTCATAGACTCGACTGTCGTGAGCATGAAAAATGAATCGATCCTTGCTCCAAGATGGCGATTTGTCAAGACTTTGCCGCACATTCCATTTTGTACACCCCTACCCCTCCTCTACTTATATTTTACTCATCAGCTCGCTAAGGACAACCCACCGCCTTACACACGTCTCCCTTGTATGAACACAAATCTGCATATTCACGTCTGAAGTACATGTTAATGAAAAAATAGTTGTTCTGTTGTATTCAAGAAAAATTCTGTTATCTAGCGGTGTTATCGCTTGCTAGTGTTATTTTTTAACCCAACTTGTTTTTTCTTTGCCAATAATTATGTTGCCACTTTGCTCTTATCTTTTCTAAAACTGCTCTGCTTCTTTCAATGTAATGTAGACGTCACTGGATATCGAAACTAAATTGACCAACGGCATTTAAGCTATGGCGGCCTTGAAGGGACACATCCTGTCTGTCATTTTTTTTCATGTGATCGCAAAATTAATGTTACGTTTTCAACATTGTGCGTTGTTTTCCCACCGCGATGTGTGAAATTATTTTTACAATATCGCCACGTTTGCTGCATCATTTTTGGAGAAGATACTCGAGACTTTGTCCATTTTGGGCCACCGTGCTGTCCCATTCGAGCTACTCGAGCTTCTTCCTGTATTTGCAACAGTTACGGAGTCACGCATCAGCGAGCAACATATGGCAGACGATGCTTCAAACCAAGATTAATCACCTCTCGTATATGAATATATTCTGTCTATATGCCATAAATCATCATGGAAAAGACATTATGGAGTACACTGCATAACAAAACTGCATGGGTTAAGCTTTTTCCCCAACAGTACGGTTACAAATTATCGAGTAGGCCTATGATTAAATCATTCACCTAAAATTCAGATTTTATAAAGTTGAACAAAGAAATTGACTGGGGAGAATTTTGAACCTGCGACCGCCGGATTGCCGTTCCAGCGCTCTACTGAGATATCCAGCGGTTCCCAATTTAGCCCGTTTTGTGGTTTACTTGGAAATTGAAATTTATTTGAGTTAAGTGGTGATTATATGAGTTAAAACTGACCTCGACCAATTGCTGTTAAAAATTTGCCACTCGTTTTTCATATTTTCAGTCAGCAAGAGAAAGTCACATGTCACAGATTCTTGTTTCAGATTTTTCTTCCACTCACAATTAAATTGAATTCTGTTTTATACTGTTCTCTAAAAATAGTAAACGCTTTTGTCCCAAACCTTTTAATAATGTGCATGGAAAGATTGTCGGAGATAATTATTTCAGGTCTTTTAAAGGTTTACTCGCAGTTATGATTATGTTAAGTGTATTTCAATGTATAACTTGCAAACGATGTTGAGAGCTTTAATACTTCTCATGCTAGCATTTAGCTCGGTATACCAATGCACACAGGCATAGGCAGCGTCTTCAAAGCCGGTGTTTATGTTAAGTACCTCGTAGTGTGCACAATGTCACGTACTATTACATTTAAAGTTGAGTATGAAGCAATCACTCAGCATGCATCCTGCATGAAGAAAAATATCCTTAAAATAAAACGAGGAAGTAGAGAAGAAGAAGGGAATAAACGAGATGTTGATTGATACT